TATATACAAAAAATATATATATATATATATATATATATATATATATATATATATAAGGTACAGAAAACATAAAATAATTCCTACCAATATAACTTGAAAATATAAAGTCCTTAAAATTACAATAAATCCTTGTACATATATATATAATATACATCAAGTATAATATTGAAAATATATCTCTGGTGTCAATCAAGCATCTACACTATACAAGCTACATCAAAGTAGCATCTAACAAAAGATCGTCATCTCTAGAATGATACTCAAACAACCAATCCTTCAACCTAGTTTTACCTTACTCTCATTAGTATAATCATCGCAGTGCAACAACAAAGAAATGCAAAAGTATGCTTACACACAACAAGGCAACACATACAAGTAAATTATTTGATATATCAACAATGAAATTCTTCAACACAACATGTGATCAACCCAACAATGAACAACAAAAAAACCTTAAACAACACTGCAACATTGCAACCCAACTTGTAAACAACTTGGTAGCAACTAAACACATATCAACTTACAACACAATACAACTTAACACATATCAACACAAGTTACACAACAATATAATACGTCGTTACACATTTCAATTAAGAGATCTATTACAATCCGGTGAGCAGTTTATGTGACTTGATCTTATCAAACCAACATAACGATGCGATCTTTTTGAACTTGCTAGATCAACAATAAATTTAAATATCAATCCAAAATAAAACATGATTTCTCAGATTTTGTCACTTTGGCTAGGAAAGTCGAGTTTCTTTGTCAAGAATTAAACAACAAGGCCTTAACATGCATAACTAAGTCTATATGAAATTAGTTTACCGACTACCTTCCAAATATTGCACCTTTCTAGTACTTAGTTAGAGAATTTGACTTCCAACTTTGTACCTTACTCAGTTTGTCATTTCTAAACCAGTACGGTTCGACCTTATCCCATACTATATTAATTATGAACCCAAAGGAGAATCAAGACTCCACTTTAAAAGAAAACTATACTCGAGAAGGATTTTTCAATAATTGGACTCTCAGAACACCACGACACAATACCCTTGTCATGAGATATTCATCTTTTCAAACAACACCTATCATCTAGTCCCAAGTCAATAACACAACACAACTTCTTTTAACATTATACATCTTATCACCATGCAACTCTTCCACTACTAAACTTTCCAACAAGGAGAACAACATGAAACCACTAAAACTTCATATTTCTCCTCCCCATATCAACAAGACAACCATAAAAGTTGAAATTCAAAAGCTACAATCAACACATAGAATACAACTTAAAACACGCAAGTTTCCCTTACCTTGAACCTTCCAAAGATGAAGAAATTGAGAATCTGAACTTCTTGTACGACAACTTCTCCTACTGATTCTCAGCTTCAAAAGCTTTGAATCTCAACAAGGTTACTCAAACTAACTTCAGGGAAGGCCCTACACTCTATGGAATCAACAAAAGGAAAAAAGTCTTCTTGGCTCAAAAGTTCCTCCCTCTAACTTTTCTCTAGATTTCTTAAGAAATAAACTTAAAATTCACATCTTTAGAAAACCTTACATGCCTTCTCCTAAACTTAATCAATTTTGACATCGACTCAAAAGAACTCCTAACCAACTAAACTTAGAAAAATTCCTTAATCTTTAGAGTTTTACTACAATTAAACAACTAATTACATAATCATTTGAATTAATAAAATTAAGAAACATCAATAAATTTCAGTGTTTACAATAATAATGAAATTTCTTCTAATATGTGGGACAAACCATAGCAATAAAAAAAAGTGATAGAAAAGAGGAAAGGGAAAATCTGGAAAAAGAATGGGAAATATTACATAAAAATAAAATAAAATTAGGTTAATAGCTACAAAGATGACTAGTCTTAAAGTTAACTAATCGTAACTTATTGCTTAAATAACAAATGATAATTTGCAATGGCTGAAGTGAAAATAATATTGTTTTGTTGGTGTTAGAGGACTACGACATTATGTTTCCAGATAATAAGCTCAATTTAAATACGCAGTCTCAGCTAATTAGTCAAGAATTTACATCGACATTATGTTTCCAGATAATAAGCTCAATTTTCATATATGGAGGATAAACCTCAGCTTGTTTTAAAAAAATGAGCATTACCGCTGCAACATATAATCCGCCTACTTAAAATTAGAGTACCTCTCATTACATGAGGTTAAATCACTTCCAAGAAGCTTTACATCAGTACAAGCATGGTTAGCTCCATATGCAAATCCACTATGGCTGAAACCAGGATAAGAATTAAGAACGCTGGTCCTCTATTTAAATACGCAGTGTCTGACAAGTTTACCTGCCCCGTACGCTGGCAGGGGATTGACCACATCTCTCGCTACCAATTTCATCATCTACTTCGCTGTTATCTAAACAAAGACCATTTTGGTTTACACTCACTTCAGAACTAGCATTACTGCTCGTGGCATGAGGAGAGCCTGAAACACTAATTGTTCGCCCATGATGAGATCCAGACCTCACGCTATACAAAGAAGATGCCGGAATATTTGTCATTAGTGGCCGTAAATTGCCTGGAATGGTTCTCCTTATATCCTATTGAATAGATAAACAAGCAAAATGATAAGAAAAGAATCATCCAACTCAACTGGTTCTAATCAATACAAGTTAATCGGTTTAATGAGAAGAGTAATGATTTATATGCAGGTATCCCATGAGGCCCATGACAAGTTCATTTTCATGAAAGACAATAAATAGGATGCAGAAAGATGCGCACCATGTGCCTAATCGCCATGTCCAAGGACTTCTTTGAAAGTGTTCTTCCAAAACCTGAGCTATCTGGAGATGAAGCTGACTTGCCAGACAGATTACTACGGGGAGAGTTTTTGTCATCAATCATTGGAGGTGCTAGTTTCCGCATATTTATTACCCTCTCAACCATTTTTGTGCCGATTACAACAGGACTGACATTATCATTCGCTTTGGAGTGCAAACGACTAACTGCCGGCACAGAGTTTCCACTGATATGAACAGTGCCATTGGAAGCTCTTCCTCTTGAAGGAGAACATGATTGTCGCCTGGGTCTTCCACTAGAAGAAGGCTCAACAGACGAAGACCGGGAAGAGGGTGCTCCAGGCCTGCCCCTAGTTGCTGACAATGGCCTTTCAGGTAATGTAGTTCTCAAATTAGGTGGAGCGTCAAGTGAAAAACCGGGCATCTCAGATGGCTTCCATGGTCTTGATCTCATTGTTGGCGAAGTTCCACGTGATGGTGCTGCAGGCTGCCTCGAGTTCACAGGAGCTGGCTTTCTTGTCGTCACAGGAGTTGGCTGCCTTGATGTTATAGTAGCTGGCTTGGGGCTCAAAGAAGCTTTAACTGAAGAAGCAGATATACTGGGTTCACTTGATGGTAAAGATGGTCGCCGGGTTGGAGTAGAAGCTCTTGATGTGGACCTGGAAGGAGGTAAAGTAGGCCTGCTAGTTGGTGTTGAAGATCTTGCAGCAGATCTTGACAAAGGTGTAGATGATCTCGATGGAATAGTGGGTTTAGCTGCAGGGACTGAAGTCTTAGTGGCAGAAGTCAAAGGCTTAGTGGCAGAAACTGCAGGCTTGATGGTGGAAGTTGGGGTCTTGGATGTAGCTGCCATGGACCTAGTTGAAGGTAAGGTAGATCGTGTAGGTGTCGAAGGTCTTGATGATTTTGAAGTTGCAGTTAATGTAGGGCGCCCAGTAGGAGTTGCAGGTCGTGATCCTGGCCCCCCTGATGATGACGGCCTCCTAGTTCCAACACTTGAAGAACTCAGCCCAGGAGAGGAAATAGCTTGTTTAGATACTAAATTTGTCCTCCCAACAGGCTCAGATTGATGATTTGCTAACTATAACCACAAGGAAACAATTAGAAAAAGAAGATTGAATTTCTGACACTAACAACAAACAACGCCAATATTCACCATGAGAGATCAGTGACAACAGATCAATCAATGTCTGTTGGGCTCTATCAAAAATTAAATTTTCAATAAAGCACTAACGGGTCTTTACTTTGGGAATCACTAAAAAGATAAAGAGAATCACTGTTTTCATCACTATAAAATTAGAAAAACAAGAATGTATAACATACATATTAAATCTAAAAGTCTCGATACAAATTGGGACTCTTATGGAAACATTTTATGAAAAACCTGACAAATATGCAATAGGATGAGAAAAGCTAATTTCATGTAGTCCAAGGATATCACTGTTTTGAGGGGCAGTATACACTAACATATTAAACAAATCAATTACTACTGCTGAAATTCAACACCACATTCATAATAATGATGATGATGATGATATTTCAAACAAATGTTTCATTATACAATTAGCAGACACGAGATGTACATCTACAATTACCAATTATTTCAAAATAATTGACATCATCTAAAAGCTTCATTGAAAATGCTTACCCTGGATTTTAATGCTACAGGACGTGCGGTTGGAGTACCAAGCTGACTCATAACAGTTTTTCGACTTTCCATTTCCAAAGAAGGAAAAAGAGGAGTACCGGGAGGAGTTAGAAGCCTGAAAACACATTAAACATGCTAAGCACCAATTGGAATGATAATCATTAGTTCTGGCTTTACATAACTTTCTATCTAGAGCCAGTTAGGACAAACTTCTCAATTAACACTTATAGGAGAAGACAATTAAAAGAAATAATGAGGTAAAATGAATCAAACTTTTATCATAAATTAAAATCAGCTCATGTGCCATAGCTTATGGAAAAGTTAGATGAGGGAACTTATGAATAGTTGGGGCGCATAGGGAAATTTTAACTTATTAGAACAGTTTGATTCTTTTACCTCTTTGATTCATTATATTTTCTTCTCCTATAAATGCTTAGTGAGAAATTTATCTAAAATTGTCTCTTTGAAACATTAAAAGGCCATTTGGTTACATAAATAGTGGGTGAAATAGTAAATAAACAAATAATCCGCAATAATAAAAATCAATGAGATGCAGAAGCAATAGAAACGAGAATAATTTATAGAAGCCATTTTTTTCCCAAAAAATTTCAGGATATTGTAATCAATTTTTGCAGCTTCTGTATATGGGTGTGTTTGAATTGTGTTATCTATGACTCAAACAGGCATTCCGACTTTCCAAAATCAAAAGTAGAAGGAACTCTCCCCTGTCATTGAGTTCAACAGACATTGATGTTGAAGGAGACTGATTTCCAAAAATGCACTTATAAACCAGTTTGATCTAGAGTTATACTGTCTTCCTCATAAGGCGGTCAAATGAATCCTAATGGATTAGGTTAGTAGCAAGCATTATGAGGTACATTGTAGGAATTGTCTCCTGGAACTTCCTATAGCCACTTTAATTTTTAAGGTAATATAATAGAATTAAGTAATTCATAAAATAGCCATGATTATAAGCAAAATAATTATATTTGACTGAATTCCCTTTATTGAAAAGCTCAAAATACAATTAGCACTATAGCAATCTTCTCTCTCAGTTAATAATATTAATATCAAAGTAAAATTAAAAAAATAAAATAAAAATTACGTTGAATGTGTTTTAGGTCCCTCAAGTTTAGGTCAAAAATGATTTTAGTCCCTACATTTTTAAAATAGTGAGTTCGGTCCTTGTATTTACTGAAATTTGATCCCTTGTCATATCAAAATGAAGTTTCAAGTCAGGGACAAAAACGGTAAGAACCTTTCTCCATCTTCTTTTGAACCCTCTATTATTGTAAAGAAAGAAAATGTTAATCTCTTATTCATCTTTTGAATAAGGTTGCATTAGTTGTTACTGCTTCAAAGATGATTTAATTTTACTCCCGTTTCTACCAGTTCAGATATTACAATTTTCCCCAAGAACAGAAATGTATGCATGCCTTTCTGTATGGCTTTTCAACTATTCCGCTAGGTGGAAGCTACTAGGTTTCTAGAAGGCTTCAAAAAATGAGAACCCGATTCCGTTCTCTTTCTATGTGTGCGTGCCCATACCTAGATGGGTGGGTATAGACCACGCAACTTGTTGAGGACCTATAGCCAAGGCTACATCAAGTCTAGACCAATTTACTAGATAAGATAGGCAAAAGCTCTTCTAAATGCTGGCTAAACATGTTGGGCTTTGAGCCATTCCAAAGGACTCTTAGACCCGTATTGTAAAAGGCCTCATCTAAACATGTTTGGCCAACTTAGTGTGTTTGGATAGGCATACAAGACACTCGTATGTCAAGGGAGGTCAATAACACAGACACGAGATGAGTTACTTCAAGTTGACGCACACTCATTGCCCCTAAACTTCAAACCAAACAGGCAGTCCATGTTGCAAAGTATGCTTTTAAAAATAGTCCCTCTAATGAGACCAACAAAGCCTATATTAGGTAAATAGATCAAACTCGCACTTTACATTTGCGAAATAAACCAGATCATTTAAGGTAAGGCACTTGACCAAGCGTGACACATTTCCACACCTATCGAATCAGATCAATATCATTACAGCGTTTATCTATGAAATACACAGTCTAATACGAAAAGGAAAACCTCAAGGAGCTAAGGTCCAAGACCAGAAAAAAGAAAAGCTCTATTTCATATGACAAGCGGTCTATAAATATGTACTACAAATCTAACATCAAATACACAGTCTAATACGAATAGGAAAACTACAAGGAGCTAAGATCCGAGACAGGAAAAAAGGAATGCTCTATTTCATATGACAAGTTAAGTGGTCTATAAATATGTACTACAAAATCTACCATCATATTAATTATTAATTATTCATACAGCAAGAACTCCATCATTGCACTAATAAACACTTATGGCAAGACAAGATAAACATAATGAAGGAAACATGTGGAATCAAAATGCTACTAGAAAAGGTACCACATACCAGTCATAGTCATTCTTATCATTTTCCGAATTGAGAAAATCATCAACACCAGTCTTCCGCACAGGAGCTGGCGTGGAAGAAGAAATGTTAAATATGGGGTTCGTGCCCGCATTCGACCCTGCAACAATGGAGAAACCCAAACAATAAAATCATTTTCTAGTTCTCCGTCCACTTAAAAGTTCTAACCTACATGAAAAACTAACAGACACAACTTCAAAAGCTCACACCAGTCCCCCAAACACTGTAAAGAAAATCAAATCCTCAAAAGCATTAAAAAAAAAAAAAAAAAAAAAAAAAAAAAAAACTCTGAAAACCACTTCTAACTTGTATGCAAACAGGGATTAAAAAATTTAAACGGTAAAAGATTAATTCGTTAGAATTG